GCCACTCACCTCCGAGCCCCCGGGGGCGCCCTCGCCCAGCCCCAGCCCCAGCCCCCAGGCCGTGTGCTGGCCCAGCGGCTGGCACTAGCCCCGTGCCCTGCCTTCCTCTTCTCGTTTGCAATGTCAGTCATTATCGGGGCGGCCGGCCCGAAAACGCGCTTTGCCCTGCCCTCTGTCCCCAGCCACGGCCACCAGTATTGGCCGCCCCGTCAGGGCGGGTTCCCCTATCTGCCGTTTTCCTTTCGACCAGGATGGGGGAAGTGAAAGGAAACCCCAAAACCAATAGAGAACACACACAGAATAGGCGATTATTTATTTGTTTTTAATTTATTTTGTCATATTTTTGTAAAACGGCAGAAATGCAATAAAAAGTATATTTCAACAGTGCCCGAGGTCAGAGCAAGTGGAAGGGGGCTTGTGAGCCCTGGGGACTAGGACCTGCCACAGGCTGACTTGACGCCCAGGGGCCTCCTCCCAAGAACTGGGTCTCGGGGCCACGGATGGAAAACTCCAGGCTGTGCCGCCTGTGCCGGCCCAGATCTGGGGGCTGACTTGGGCCCGGGAGCCCTGGGGCGGAGCTGCGGGGCCTCGCTCAGGTCAGGTTCCGGCCACCCAGACAGGAGGCCAGCTCAAGATGCTGAAAGGATTCAGCCATAGTTCTCAGCCTCAAACAGGGACAGAGGGGTGACACGGTCCTCTCAGCTGCGTGTGTGTGTGTGTGTGTGTGTGTGTGTGTGTGTGTGTGTGTAAGAGGTGCATTTTCTGGCACAACTGCCTCCTGGGAAGCCAGGGACAGTGGGAAGAACATGGGACATAGAAATCGGAAGGCACCTGGCACCCCAGCCCTGCAGTCCCAGAGTCATGGTATTGAGAGGATGGTGCACTTGGGGGTGCCCAGAACAGACACAGATTGGCATCAAGGAACAGCCAGGATGTCCCATGAAGGGACGAATTCCAGACAGGAATCACTAGGATTTGTGGACATGTGACTTAGGGACAGGAACACTGCCTGTCAGACCCTCACATTCATCTGGGAAAATGACAACAAGCACATCCCCCTACAAAAGCTAAAGGATTAGACCCTCACGTGGCCACACCCCAGGGGGAGCCAGTTTGACAAACGGGCCCTTCAGGGAAACCTGAAGGCATGGCTCACTGGAGCCAGGATGGCAGCCTGTAGCTGAGGGAGAGGCACAGGAACGTAGTCTGGACTTGGGGACATCAGGGCAAGGGGAGTCCCAAAGGCAGGGGTGGGGAGCAGTGGCTGGCTCAGGCCTGGGCTTCTCCTGAGGGCAGCAGGAGCTGTGGGGGGCTGTGCACAGGCCAGAACAGCTGCTCCCGCCTAGGGAAGCCACAGGTGGGCCAGGGCGGGCAGGGCACTGGGAGGAAGCACCCCAGGAATCAGTCGGTGCAGGAGACAGGCGCAGCTCAAAAGGGGACTCAGAGGCCTTGGGAGGGGGGGTGCTGCCTGGTGCCATGCTGTCTCCTGGTCTTTGAAGTCCTGCCATTTTAACCACTGACCAAGTGACACCATAAATCTGCCGGGTCAGAACCACCCCTGGGACTGGGGATTCCCAACTGGTCTGGAAGTCAAGGGAAGGGGGACTTGCCACTCCCCTTGCCTTGGTCAAGGTCAAGCTTCTGTTCCTGACTGGATGCCCTGGGCTTGCAGGAACCTTACAGTATGCACCTGCCTTGGTACAGACACCAAGCTGAGAGCTGGGGTCAAGGCACCTGGGCCTCGAAGCACAGCTGGATTGCTGTTCTGGCCTGGTTCAGTCACTGGTGCCAACCCAGCACCATCTGCCCTAACAGAGTTGAGCAGCCAGGCAAGGCCCCAGGGTAACTGCTGGGGGCAGGCACACCTTCCCCAACCACCCCCTCAGATCCAGGGCCTACCCCACCCCCAACTCCCCAAAAACTCGGCACTGAGTCACACCCCCGTTACAGGGCAGCAGGGGAGGCGAACCTTCTACCCAGAGCCAAACCACCCTCTACGTGTCCAAGCTCAGTCCCAATCCCAGCCCAGCTGGTGAAGGGACCCCCTGGAGAGGCCAGGAAGCACACTGACTAGAACTGCTATCTGACTTGGGGTCCCATGAGGCCAGGCTCATTCTGATGTCACCAGAGGCCCTCAGAGCCCAGGCCCCCAAGCAAGACTGGGCCATCTCCACAGTGGATGGTGGGCATGGGGCCCTGCATGGTAGTGTCCTGGATGTGAGCTGACCCCAGCTCCACTTTTGGCACCATAGACTGTCTCTCAGAGATGGCCTGGTCCTCGAGGACACCTTGACAGGTGAGGCAGAGGGGTTGGTCCGAGTGGGTCTTGGCCTTGAGCATGGCGGCTGCAGCAGGCTCACGAGAGGATGTGGCTGGTCCCTGGGGCCCCAGCACAAGGGGCCCCTCTTCTCTTGGTGATGACAGGATGACTCTCAGGGGCTCCGTCCTCCAGGGGCGAGGAGTGTGGAGCAAAGACTCGAGGTCGAGTAGGAAAGATCCTTTTATTGGGGAGGACACGGAGCGCTCTAGTCCATGATAAAATGACTTAAGAGGAAGATCCAGTAGGGCGACTTCTCCCCTGCCCGCCTGCTCACAGGGAGGTCTGGGCATGGCTACCTCCCGTGGCAGTGGAGACCAGATGAGTCTCGGAGGCCTGGACTGGTCAGCAGGGAGGGAGAAGGCTGCTCAGCTGTCCGGGAGAGCCAGGCCTAGGGCCCTGGCCCCCATCCCTGCCACCCGGCCACAGAACCCCCTGGCTCTACACCCTAGAGACATAGTTTCTCAGGACAGGGGACCTGGACAGGGGAAGGGTGAAAAACAATGTTTTTTAAAAAGCATCTATCGACATCACACTACTGGGTCTGACGTCCCCTTTAACCAACGCTTGATACATGTTACAGCATAAATAAAAACTCAAGGAAAATAAATACATCGGCTCCTATGAGGTTGGAAGTGGTGTGGACGGCGGGGTGTGGGTGGCCGGCGGGGAAGGCGGGCGGGCAGGGCGCTTACACACGGTGGGCGGGCGACCAAGGAGCAGACACAACAGGAGGCGCCTGTGGGGGATCGCGAGTCTTAAGTGTCCTCGTGCATGTCGGGGCTGTCGGTCCGTGCCACCTTGCGGGGCGGTGCCGAGCTCTCGCCCTCCAGCTCCACCTGCTCCTGCTCTCTCTTCTTGGCGGCATTCTGGGGGCAAGGGAAGGACAGGCTGTGAGTTCCTGGCATCCCAGTGCCAGCCCTGGCCCTTGGAAATGTGACTCGGGGCCCCTGGCTGGGCAGCGCTTCCTGCCACTAGGACCTGCCCCACTAAGTCCTGTCCTGAGTGTCCTCTGGGACCCATGGCAGATGACAGGCAGGGGTTTCCTGGGTACGTCGTGGGGAGAGCCACCATGACCTTTCCCATGACCCCCCACATCCCGTTTCTCAAACACTCAGAGGAGCACCCAAGGAGCCAAGGGCAAAAGGGCTCCTGGGAGCCACAGGGGGACCCTGCATCCCCAGAAAAGAGGACAGCAGATGGTTAGGTCGTGTCCTTCCTGGCTGGTGGCACTCAAAGCCTGTGCAGCTGGGGAGGGGGATGGAAGCAGTGGGTCGGGCACCCTGGATTTTCAGAGTGCTCACTTGGAGTCCCGTCCAACCTCAGTCTGATATTCAATATTAAGTGAAAACCATATTACTGAATAACATGTTTTGGAAATTTCTATCAAAGAAAGAAAGAGAGTCCCAAAAGTACAAAAAGTGGCTTCTGGGAAGAGGTTAGGATGCCAGAAGTTGAGGGAAGTGACTTTTATTCACAAGTGCACATCACTGTCCCAGCTGGGAGACAATCTTTCCACATTTATCCCCTCTTGCGTTGCCTGGAGTTTTAATCTTGTGTAAATTTCACCATTAAAAAAAAAAAAAGAAAAAAAAAAAGATTCTACACCAGATGTGGTGGCTTATGCCTATAATTCCAGCAACTCGGGAGGCTGAGGCAGGAGGATCACTAGCCTCTTCAGAGCCAGCCTTGGCAACTTGGCAAGGCTCTGTCTCAATATATAAAAAGGCCAGGGATGTGGCTTAGTGGTTAAGTACCCCAAATTCAATCCCCAGTGCAAAAAAAAAAAAATCTAAGGTATGGTGGCACATGCCTGTAATCCCAGCAGTGGAAGAGGATGGCAAGTTCAAAGCCAGCCAGGGCAACTAGGTGAGACTCTTTCTCAGTAAGAGTAATAGGGGGGCGGGGACAAACTAGGGCTGTAGCTCAGTGACAGATGGCCAAGGGGGTGTGGCTCAGTGGTAGAGCACTTGCCAGGCATGTGTGAGAACATACAAAACATTCTAGGGCCCACCTGGAAAGTCTAACTAACGGGGGCCTGGGAAGCCAGGCCTCGGCGGCCCGCCTTCCAACACCAGAACCTGGGCCACCGCACAGCTGTTCCAGCCACTGACCGGCTCCCCCTCTCCTCGATCACCCGGAAAACTCCTACTAGACCCTCAAGGCCCCCAAACGCCCACTCACTCCCTCACTCAAGAGGCCCTGCTAGGAGGCATGTCTGCCTCACCCCACTCCCAGCACCTGAACCCCACATCCTTTACCTTTTTGTCCCATTGCTGATGTAGGTAGCGCAGAAGGATGTTTGTCTTTTCTGTCACAATGACTGAAAAGAAAGACAGACATGGTAGCAAAAGATGCAGAGGCACCCTGGCCTTAGATGGGTGCTCTTGACCCCTCCCTGACCTCCTGGCCTATTCGGCCCTCGGTGGTCTTTCTGGGGTTCAAAGTCGGCACCCACAATTTAGGAGGTGACCTCAGAAATCCCAGTGGTTTCACTTCTGAGCACACAGCCACCACCAGGGGCCTGAGCTGACTCTCCCTCAGGGTCCCTGCTGCCTTATGCAGGGTTCCGTCCTGGGGTGGGGGGCAGGCTCGCAACCCTGCTTCCTCCCAGGTGGACCATAAGCACAAACCTACACAGTTGTATCTGGTGACCACAAGTCACTTGTACCCTGCAGAGTCCAGGTAGATGGGTGCCTTTTTAACAGTTAAAATAAAGATACAACAGCACCACCACATCCTCCCACTCTGCAGAGCCATCTGCCAGGTCCCCTCCCCAGCCCCAAGCGCTCTTTGCTATCTCCTGTCTCACAGCACTTGTCTTGGAGTCTGCATTCTCACCAAGTCCCTGATGTGGAGGCAGAAGGGGACACCAGGCCTGACCCAAGGGGAAGGGCCACGCCAGGAAGAGGGGGTCAGCTCAGAGCCTCAGGAGCCCTGGACGCCAGTGTGTGGAGATCAGGAGGCACCCAGAAAAAGCAGGTCTCCCGCAGCTTCCGAGGTCAGGAGTGAGCAGACAGCCACATGCACACCTCCAGCCCGGAGTCCCCAGACCGCCTCCTGGTCTTTGTTTAGGGCCCTTCCCCACATGACCCTGACTGGGAACTGGACTGCAAGCCACCTCTGTGCCCTGCCGCCTGCCCCTGCTCCCGGTTTCTACCCCCTGCTCCCTAGTCTTCGCTCCCTGCCCCCTGCTCTGCTCTCTGGTCTGGCTGGGCCTCTGAACCACCCCCAGGAGCCAGGACAGGACACACCAGCAGATGCTACTTACTCTGTTCTGATGGGTACTCCCGAGTAGGCAGGTAGACGGAGGGACGTCGATTCTGCAGGATGGTCAGGAAAAGGTAGGTTAGGAGCACATGGGCCTGGGGTCCCTGCTCCCTCCCCAGCCCCAACTCAGCACCTACCCTTGAATAAAGAGGGAAAGACACTCAAGAATATGGGGTGTTGGGCTGGGGTTATGGCTCAGTGGTAGATCACCTGCCTCGCATGTGTGAGGCCCTGGGTTCAATCCTCAGCACCACATAAAAGTAAGTAAATAAAGATTCAAAAAAAAAAAGAATATGGGGTGGAGGACTGGGGTTGAGGCTCAGAGGTAGAGTGCTTGCCTAGCACATGAGAGGCACTGGGTTCGATGCTCAGCCCTGCATATAAGTAAAATGAATAAAATAAAGGTCCATCAACGTCTAAAAAAATATTTAAAGAAAAATAAAGAATATGGGGTGGAACTGGCCTTAAAGATCAGCCTGTCCCCACCAAGACCACTACTGAGACACATGCTACCCCCAGTCCCTAAGGACTCCAGACCCCAGAACACACACTCACCGAAGCTTTGCACACGGAGTCGGCATGAAATCGACTAAAATTGCTTTTGTTGTAGACAGGTAATCCTTTCAAAAAATCTGCCTAGAAAATAGACAGAAGATAGAGAGTGGGAATCAGTAACAGTGCAGAAGTCTGCAAGGTCCCTTACTATGCGTCGGAGAGGGGCTTCCGGTGACTTCTGGTCTTTTCTTTCTACTTTTCTTTGCTTCTCAGGGTTTGCAGAGTGCACCCCCAAGCTACCTACCAAAGGTCAGTGTGTGCTTTCCTGGGAGGCCCTCACAACAGCCCCACACCCAGGCAAAAGGCGGGGAGACTGAGGCTGGGAAAGAACAGGCCGCAAGTTTAAAGTCGCACTGTGTGAGCAACAGAGGAGTCAAACCCAGGCCCCAAACACCCCCGCCGAGGAGATGGCTATTCCCCGCCTGGGCAGCACTGTGCTTAGTAGCGTATTAGTAGCGTACTTCTGGATGCTGAGCCTCCAGGCCCTGTTTCCACGACCTGCCCTAGGCAGAGACCGAGGACAGAGGAACATCTGCTGATCTCAAGAAACCCCAGGGGTCAGTGTGACAACAGATGGGGGGTAGGAACAGAGACTGGGAGAAGGGGCTGCAATTACTCAGGAATGGGAGTCCATGGCTCACCACATTTCCAACATCCTAAAAATCCAAGTTTGTATATGTGTTATCTCTTTTTTCTTCTTCTGTGCTGGGGATGAAACCCAGGGCTTCACACATGCGAGACAAACACTCTGCTACTGAGCTGCACTCTGGCCCCAAACATCTAGGTTTATTTTATTTTGGTTTTCTTCCTTTCTTTTTCTTTCCTTTTCTTTTTTTTTTTTTCGTGGTGCTGGGGATGGAGTCCGGGGCCTCTTGTGTGCTCAGCAAGTGCTCTACCACCGAGTCACACACCAGTCAGTCCTTACAGGTTTTAAAGCTGGCTCCACTTTCTAGAAAGTTCCATGTGGGCTGGGCATAGTGGCACATGCCTATAATCCCAGTGCTTCAGAAGCTGAGGCAGGAGGAGTGCAAGTTCAAGGCTGGCCTGGGCAACTTAGCAAGACTCTGTCTCAAAATAAAAAATAAAAAGATTGGGAATGTAGCTAAGTAACAAAGCATCCCTGGATTCAATCCACAATATCACAAAAAGGAAAAATAAATCCATTCACACACAAAAAGAAAAAGGAAAAAAGAAGCCCCATGTGGACTGAGCTAAGTAGGTGTGTGACGGTCAGCTCAGGGACTCTTCTGGAGTCCCCACCCTGAGGCTGATCATCAGCCTGCAGAGCCAGTCCTGGGGGAAAACGCCTGCCTCTCCCACGAGGAGCCTGAGCCCTTCACCAGGAGGGCCTCAGCCTCACAGGGGGCAGACCGTCCTCCCACAGCTGCCTGGGGATTCAGCTGGGCCACCCAAGTTTGTAGGCCTGTGTGGCTAAATCCACTCACTTTCCCAAAGTCCCTGTTGGTCAAGCCTGAGGTGGAACAGTTGGCAAGGGGTACATCTGGTGTGGGTTCCCCACACATCCTGCCCTGGGCCAGGGTCTTCCCAAATGTCGTATCCCCAACAGCACTCACAGGTGTGACCCAGCCAAGCAGGTGGTGGCAGCTCCCCATCCTCAAGACAAGAGACTGAGGTAAGGAGGTCAGTGGTGTGACTCATCTGAGGTCACCTAGTCTTAGGTGTGCCCAGTCTCACAGGCCATGCCCCTGCCATTACATGACAGGTCTGATAACCCAATGGCTTGAGATCCGGCAGACTCCAGGGCTGCAGGACCTGGTACCTTCAGAGAGCTGCCCTGGAGGAAGTAGCCATTTAAGTGACTTCGCATCATCCTCTGCAGCAGACGAGAGGACTAGTGTCCCTTTCACTACAGGCCAGCCCCTCCTCTGCTGGTCCCAGTGAGACGTCAGCAGCATGGGCCAACCCAGGAGGCTGTCAGGTGTCCTCCTCTGCCTACGACAGCATTCACAGCTGCTCCCAGAGACAACTCACAGTCCCTCAAACCTGCCTCGACCCATCCTCGGCCCCTTGCTCCAGCTTATTCTCAGACTAAGGAGCCACAGTCATACAGGTGGCAAGGTTTCCTTTTCTCTTTTAGTACCAGGGATTGAACCCAGGGGCATTGTACCCCTGAGCCACATCCTGACCCTTTTTATATTTTATTTGGAAGCAGGATCTTGCTAAATTGCTGAGGCTGGCTTTGAACTTGTAGTCCTCCTGCCTCAGCCTCCCAAGCCACTGCGCCAAGCCAGCAAGGTTTTCTTAGCCCTCACTATATGGCAGGCCCCAAGTTGGGGCACCAAGACACTGGGGTGAGCCTTGAAGCCCTGTTCCTGTCTTAGGGAGGTCCTACTGCATAGGGGACACAAGGATCACAAAATCACAGTGAGTGGAAAGTGGAGGTAAGGGTGCCTTCAGTGCACTGTGCAAAGATAGGACGGGGGAGGGTGGACAGAGGCTTGGAGTGGACTGTCCAGAGGTACTGATATAGGAAAGGACCCTGTCCCTGCTCTGCTCGAGACTCTCCACAGCCCTGGCCCACTGGGCCCTCTTTTATCTTCCCACTCACACCCTCCACCACCCCTCAGGAGGGCCTCTCCATCCACACTGCTGCCCTCCCCCATCAGCTCTAACCTCTCCTACCCTGATGCTGTCCCCACACCTAGGGAGCCTCTCCCAGAGACCTGCTTCCACCACAGTAGGATCGCCCAACACATCCACTTCCCTGGCTGAGGGCACTGGGCAGGGCAGGGCTACCTCAACCTGATGTCCCGGCAGGGCTCACAGGGGACAAGGCTGACAAGCATAGAACTCAAATCCTCCCCTCAATCCTGCTCAGCACCTCCTTGGCTGTGTGACTTGGGGCAAACAACCTCACAGCTTCACACCTCCCCCACAGAACGGGGCACTGCACACAGGGCCACTTCCCAAGTTGATTCAGAGTCTCAATAAGACAACATTGATGCAGCCTCTGCACAGGCTCCCTCCAGGCGGCTGCTGACACCCGCTCACTCATGCTGAATAAATGAATGAAAATGGGGAGGGGACCTACTTCCTTCAGCTAAGCTGGAAAACAAGGTCTGAAGACAGGGGAGAAGTCCATCCTGCAGCCAGAAGCCCTGAAGCCACCCATTACCTCAGCAAACATTTACCAAACACCTGTAGTCCTGTCCCCTTGTGGACAGCCCACTAATGATCCAACAAAGTAAGAGGAAAAAAGATGGTGTCTCCAGATGTCAGGAGGGGATCTGAAGAAGAGATGCTCACAGTAGGGAAAGTACTACAGGCAGAATCAGCAGGTGCAAAGGCCCTGGGGGTGTGGAACTCAGATCATGGGAAGCGCAAACAAGGCCTGTGTGGATGAAGCTGGCAGAGGGAAGGGGTGAAGAGGGTGGAGATGAGGTCACAGAGGTGGGCAGAGACCTTGAAGGTGGAGGGCAGGAGCTGGGTCACAACCAACAGGGTTACAACAGGAGCATTTCATAATTTATTAAGTGATACAATCTGACTTACATCTTTAAAAATTTCAAGGTCCTGGTGAATTAAAAACAACCAAGTGGATGGGAGAGAGGCAAGGAGACCAGGGAGGGGGCTGGGCAGACATCCAGGCCAGAGGTGGCAGTACCTGGACAGGCCACAGATGGATTCAGGTTGTGTTCTGGAGGCAGAGCCAACAGAATCCTCTTATGACCAGGTTGGGGACACACTGCAGTAAGAAATCAATGATAACACCCAGACTTGGGGACCCACACAGTGGGCCCTACCTTCCTCTGCCCTCCTCTACTGCTTCCCAAAGGCTGACTGCTGTGGGCTGGGATTCTCCCTCAGGGGCAACGGGGCCCTAACTCAGCTTGATCAGATCTTCCACTGCCCCTGCCAGTTGTGAGGATGCCAAGGAGCGGAGGGACTTCAGTCCAACAACTCTGAGGTGGGGGGTCACCATCCCACTTTACAGATCAAACCCAAAAAACCACCAGCCCCACACCCCAGGATGTGGAAGTGGGAGAGGGAATATTAACCTCCCAACAGCCAGTTAGGATTACCCCCACTTCAAGATGAAAGGAGAGTTAGGAGAGGATGTCACCAGCCCCAAGTCACCCAGCTCATCTGTTGAATGTTCCCTGTCCTAAGCACTTTACCACGTCAGTTCCCTAAACTACCACAATCCTATGAAGTCTGGACTACCAACATCCTCATTTAACAGGCAGAGGCTCGGAGGGTGGGAGAGACGGAATTGCTCTCTTTTGGGGACAAGAGGAGGCCCAGAATGGTGGAGGAGGGGTTAGGGCCCCGGGGAATCCAGGCAATCGGCGAGTGTCGCACTTCCTTTGGCGACAAAGCCCTGCAAAGTCTGCGGTGTGAAGCCCCCTCCCCCGCCCCGACGCCCGGACCGGCCTTCCAAACCCTCCTAAATCAGAGAAGCCCAGGCCCGCTGAGCCGAGGAAGAGGCCCGAGCTGGGGTCTCAGGAGACCCCACCCCATTCCAAGCGATTTCCGGGGGGAGCCGCGACCCGGAAATGAATGAGTTGTCAGGGCCTGGAAGCCTACACAGGGTCAGGGGTCGGGGAAGGAGCTGGAGCGGGGTCAAAAGAAAGCTCAAGGAAGGGTCTGAGGGGTCGAAGGTCACAGGTCACCGCGGAGAGTGGGGCGGGGCTGAGGGGGCCGGGCTGAGTGGTGAGAGGCCTTAGGGGGATAGAGAAGTGGGTGGTCCCGCGGCACCATTTTGTTGAGGGTAAGGGAAGTACGGGCCCGGCGGCCGTCCTCACCATCTTGTTTCCTCCGTCGCCACCTCAGCCGCCTCAGCCG